GTGGCGCGGCGTTTATCCCGCTTTCCGCGGTGGGCTGTTGCCAGGCTGAACCGGGACCTACTAGAGGAGGCAGCCATAATTCACTCGTGGCTGTCTCCTCAGGCTCCGACCGAGGAGGTCGACGTGGGGGCTGGCCGCTTTCGCGATGCGATTACGCATGTATGCGATGCGGCCATGCCCCGCGTTCGAGGTCGTCGGCCTCCAAGGAAGGAGGTCTACTGGTGGTCCCAGGAGCTGGCGGACCTCCGTGCGGCCTGTACACGTGCCCGGAGGTCCTACACACGCAGTCGGCGGCGTCACCGTGGAGACGGTGAGGAGGACCGGCTTCATGAGGAGTACCGGCGGGCGCGGAAAACTCTGAAGCTGGCCATTAGCCGCGCCAAAGAGGAAAAGAGACAGGAGATGCTGGAGGGTCTTAATCGTGACCCCTGGGGTCGCCCTTACCGCGCGGTGCGACAAAAGCTCCGCGCGTCGGGCCCCCCCCTTACGGAGACTCTCCAGCCCAGCTTCCTGCGAGAAGTGGTTGAGGGCCTTTTCCCACAACGAGCGGAACACACTCCCCCGTCGATGGCCTCCCTGGCCGGAGACGACGGGGAGCACGGGGAGGACAATGTTCCGCCCGTCCGGGATTCGGAGGTAGGGGCGGCTGTTCTACGGATCCGTTCCAAGAACACCGCCCCTGGGCCAGACGGGGTACCGGCCCGAGTGCTGGCCCTGGCCCTCAACCACATGGCAGACCGCCTCGGGGAGGTGTTCGACGCTAGCTTGGCGTCGGGACGCTTCCCTGAGTGCTGGAAAAGCGGGAAGCTGGTCCTATTGAGGAAGCCGGGACGGCCAGCCGATTCGGTCGCGGCCTATAGGCCCATCGTGCTGCTGGACGAGGCGGGCAAATTGTTTGAGAGGGTTCTTTCTGCCCGCATCGTCCGGCACCTCTGCGAGGTGGGCCCCGATCTGTCGGACGCCCAGTTTGGTTTTCGGGCGGGGCGTTCGACAGTCGACGCCGTGTTGCGCCTGAGGGCCGTGACCGAAGAGGCCGTGAGCTGTGGCGGCGTGCTGTTGGCGGTGTCACTGGACATCGCCAACGCATTCAATAGTCTGCCATTCAGCTGCATCAGGGAAGCACTCCACTATCATGGGGTGCCAAAGTACCTGAGGCGGCTAGTGGCAGACTATTTAGAGGAGCGTACCGTCGTGTACGAGGACCGAGAAGGTAATTTGAGGTGTCGGCCCATGTCGTGCGGTGTTCCACAGGGGTCTGTTCTTGGACCCCTCTTGTGGAACATAGGGTACGACTGGGCCCTTCGCGCCGATTTCCCCCCCGGGCTGGGTGTAATCTGTTACGCAGACGATACACTGGTGACAGCCCGGGGGGCAAACTTCCAAGAGGCGGCGCGCCTGGCCACAGGGGGAGTCTCCCTGGTGGTCGGGCGCATTGAGGCGCTGGGCTTACGGGTGGCCCTAGATAAGACGGAGGCCCTGTTATTTCATGGGCCCCGTCGTGGTCCACCCCCTGGCGCCTCAATCGTGGTCAACTCGGTCCTCGTACCGGTTCGGGCCCAGATGAAATATCTGGGCCTGATCCTCGACGGGAGGTGGCTCTTCGACGAGCACTTCCGACAGCTTTCTCCAAAGCTGGTCGGCGCTGCGTCTGCCCTAGGGCGACTCTTGCCCAATATGGGTGGACCCAGCGTCGCGACAAGACGGCTGTACACGGGGGTTGTCCGGTCAATGGCGCTGTACGGTGCACCGGTGTGGGCGGCGGCTCTGACCGCCCAGAATAGGGTACGCCTCTGGCGCCCTCAGAGGGTAATGGCGGTCAGAGCCATACGCGGTTACCGCACCGTTTCGACGGAGGTGGCATGCGCATTGGCCGGAACTCCGCCGTGGGATTTGGAGGCGGAAGTGCTCGCCGAAGTTTATCGGCGAGTGGCTGACTACCGGGCGGAGAGCGGATTTCGCCCTCCGCCCGAGGATGTGCGCGAGTGGCGCGAAGCCGCTCGCCGAGCCACGATGGCTCGTTGGTCGTTCCGGCTGGAGACTCCACGCGCTGGCTTCGCCGCCGTGGAGGCTCTCCAGCCGGTCATCGCCGAGTGGGCAGGGCGGCAGCACTGGACCCTTTCCTTCCGACTGACGCAGGTGCTTTCCGGGCACGGTTGCTTCGGAAAGTACCTGCACACGGTCGCTAGGAGGGAGCAGGTTATGTGTTTGTAACTGGCAGTATTTTACTTGTGAATATTCTGATTATAATTTAATTAGCGATGTAAAATATGTCCTATAGTAATATTATTATTACCTTGCATTTCCTATTTCCAGGCGTAATGCCTGTGTATCATGAGATTGTTTATATAAGTACCGTTTTTTCTTTGTTCCAGACGTTAAGACTAGGCTCCTGAAAGTGCAATATAAGATAAAGAATCAAAAGCTCAATGTGATAAACTAACATACTATTGTCGTCATATGTATCAAATACATATCTATTGTTAGCTAATGCAAATATATAATTTTAAATGAACGAATTGTTTCTTTCCGATCACCATATTTTACTTCTTCAATAGGACTATATAATGTGTCGCGGTGAACTTTACAAACATACATGAAACGAACACAAAGAACACCTAAGAATATCAATTTTCAGATTACACAAAGTGTCGTCCCATATCGGCATCGTACCCACAACACTCAGCGTAGAGGTAGCGGGCGTGGTGACCGCTTAAACCACGACGCCATCGGTGCAAACAAAGCCACAAAGTTCAACCTACAATATGAAGATAACATAACTAATGTTTGTTATCACACACAGATGCAGTTAGGAACGGAGACTCTAGTATTTCAAAATGAACTGTCTATCCAATCGAAATAATATCGACTGCAGTGACTTATCAGACCGCATAATGCTTGCAGTTCCTCGCAAGCCGCCTAGCCATCCCTTTACTAGAACTTTCTGCCTACAACTGGCAAGAACTAATTTAGGACTAAGCTCTCCTATGGTACGTGCATGTCGCAATTATAATATGCTAAATGGTAAAATTGACCAAAAGGATATTTTCCACAATTCCTTTATACACTTTAAGGATATGATACTGAAATCGTTTGCATGACTGCCATTTTCATTGTTTAAGCTTATCTGTGTGTAATTTCTAAGTACTATATTTTTGTTGATTGTCGTTCACTTTAATCTTAATCTTGCTACTGCTTAAATGTGTGTCTATCTAATGATGTATACTGTGCATGCCTGTAATTGGTCTACATATAAGAACTATCCTTATACAGTAACATATTAGGCAATGTTTGTTCTACGAGTAACTCTGCAAGTGTTGTGTGATCGATTCATCCATCCATCTAAATATCGTATTGCAATTAATGTCACTTTTCTTCTATTATCTCGCAGGATATTGATCCTGACTACTGAGCTCTGACTCAGAAATCCGATTACAAATCTGTTAAAAAAAATGTAATACAGACTCTTCCTAGTTTGAGATAAGACAATGTCACGACGATGGATGAAGTGTGTTTTTCGAGCTGGAGTTGAATTATGAAACACTTACCTATTAGATGTCACATGACAGACACCGTACATGTGAAATATTCTTAATTAACATACAATTCTCAGTCGTATATATTACAGCAATTATATTTTATTTATTTATTTTTATATTTTACACTTCCTACTTTACAATTTGCACATGTGATTGTCTGCCAGTCAATCTTTGGTTAGATGGTTCAGTAAGGGACATGGCAGGTGCATATGTACTACGAACAGTAGAAAAGAAGCTATTAACTAAACGTTTATATAGTGCGTAAAGCTTGAAAGCTTTGAAAGCAGTAAATCCTTGCCTACTGTATTTCTTTACCACAATTCACTTCCCAAGCTCCCTGGAATCTCAAACTCATAATCTTTACATATCCAGAATCATCTATACCGAAATAACGGAATAATTAAATAAATAAAAATTGAACATTCATAAAGGTGAATTGATGTATTAGAAGTCTAATAACCAGCCTACCTGGATGTCTCTACAGTTTTACCTTCAGTCATCAACAGCTTTTAATAGTCCACTGCTGGACATAAGCCTCTCCTTAGAAAGGAGGTTTTGGCCTACTATACCACGCAGGCCAGACGGGTTGGTATAGGGTTTGTGTCAAGTTTTGTTTCTCTCTGCAGTGCTGTTGTTCTGCGTAATTTTCTCCCTTAGTCGGCTCTTACAACACCCACGGGATGAATAGGGTTGGTGACACTGTATTCTTAATCCGTCAACACACGGACCATGGACCATTAATTACCTTCAGTACACTCATGTAATTGTGTAATTACATACAAAAAAATTTAAAACACCATACGAGTATACTTTATTATTTCCATCTGAATCCTTTAGCAGCTCCGTTAAAATGATATACAAATATAATGCAAAATATTTCGTTGATCCGCTAAAAAGATCTCAAATTAACATTTGCAGCGGAACCTTAATAAAAGAAGGAAAAAACGGAGCAAAAAATGAAGAGTCTAAGAAGCATTTGATCCTTCATGAAGATATGACATAAGCTAGTGTGTATATAAGCTGGGTCGGTGTTGAGTTCGGCACAGTACCAATATGGCTAAGCTTACACTACTAGCGTTCGCCTTAGGGCTCGCCGTCTGCTGCGCAGCCTCAGGTTTGCTTACAAACAACATTTTTTATTAAAGTGGTTAATTTTTAACATTGTGTATCCTTTTGTATTGTATTTGATTATTCTCTTGAACAATACTAGTTAAAGTAAGACAGTAGTTAAGTAAGCCATAAACTTTCCTGTCGTGACTAAATATATGTACATGTTATGAGATGGAGACCTAAATATTTTTAAAAGCAAACATGCAAAAATAGTTCTTGCAATTTTTGACTTTATTTTCATATTTTCACACATTTTCTGATCAAGGCCATGGGACGTGCAGAGAGCAGCAAGCAAAGAGAACATATATTTATTTTTATGGAGCAGATTTTTCAGTCAATCTGTTTGTCTTTCAGCTGAGCTCCACCGAGTTCGTCGCGGCTACGGCGGTGGGGGCTCAAGTGGTGGTGGTGGTCAAGGAGGGGGCGGCGGTGGTGGCCATGGTGGCGGTGGCGGCGGCTTCGGCGGCGGTAGTGGAGGAGGCGGTGGCTTCGGCGGTGGTAGCGGCGGAGGCCACGGAGGCGGTGGTAGCGGCGGGGGCCACGGAGGCGGTGGTAGCGGCGGAGGCCACGGAGGCGGTGGTAGCGGCGGAGGCCACGGAGGCGGTGGTACTGGCGGCGGCCATGGAGGAAGCAGTGGTGGTAGCCACGGAGGATCCTACGGCGGAAGTCACGGAGGTGGCCATGGTGGAGGATCCGGAGGTGGCTACGGAAAATAGGAGTAAGTCAAACTATCCTCATTGAATTGATGCCACAGATTTTAGCGTCGCATTATTAGCTTCTAGTCCTAGTGTGGATAAAAAGGGAAATGGTTAAATATAAAACTTTTACAATCAATGATTAATTTGTATTGTCATAACGTAATTGGCATTATATACTTTTGAGTAACGTGATTGCTTTAATTCCCTTAAACATAATAAATCGATTAGCGGCACTCATGTGACAATATTTATTGGGTTTAAAGTCCCCGATAAGCGTTTACCATCAAGCAGGCTATGCGTTTGTAACTGGCAGTAATTTACTTGTGAATATTCTGACTATAATTTAATTAGCGATGTATAATATGTCCTGTAGTAATATTAATATTATCTCATGATATCCAGGCATAACGCCTGTATATCATGAGATTATTTATATAAGTACCGTTTTTTCTTTGTTCCAGACGTTAAGACTAGGCTCCTGAAAGTGCAATATAAGATAAAGAATCAAAAACTTAATGTGATAAACTAACATACTATTTTCGTCATATGTATCAAATACATATCTATTGTTAGCTAAAGCAAATATATAATTATAAATGAATGAATTGTTTCTTTCCGATCACCATCTTAATTTATTTATTTTATTAAAAAAAATACAACGCCCGCACTTGGAATATATCATGTGTCGCGGTGAACTTTTCAAACATACATGAAACGAACACAAAGAACACCTCAAAACAACAATTGTTAGATTACACAAGTTTCTGCCCATGTACGCATCGGACCCACAACACTCAGCGTAGTAGTAGCGGGCGTGGTGACCGCTTAAACCACTACGCCGTGTGCGTTACCCCAGCAAAATAATGTCGAAAATGGTCATTTTAACTTTATAGATAATTAGTTGCTCCCCTTCTGTAATTGTTAAGCACATTTTTAAATTTGTTTCACTTAAACTTTTTTAGTTATTTCAAAAAAACATTTCCTGCTGGGGTAACGTTTGAAACGTTACCGCAGCCAGACATTTTCTTTTTTAATTGTAATATTGAAATAAATTTTAGCTAAATAATTAGTTATCTGGACTAGGTAAATGTTACAATTTATTTGGTATTTGTATTTTCTTCGGCTGCGAAGTTATTCGAAATCCTGCTGGAGTAACGTTTGTGGGTTTGCTGGATCTCTGAAACGGGTAAGCGGATTGTAACCATCTTTTGTACATAACTTCTTAAGGATTAGTTTTAATTTGTTCGACAATAAAATAACAAAAATAATGGACCGTTTAAAAATTATTTAGGTAAGTATGAAAACACTTCAATACGTCCTAACACTTTAAATAAGACCTCTAAAGACTTACTTGAAACGTTATTCTATTGCTTGTAACTACCTTCAAATGTATACGAATTTTCGTAAGAATACTGTAAGTGACTAAAAAGTTATGATGAAATGTAGCTCTCCACGTTCAAGATCACAATGTGTGCGGCCTTTTTTGGCCACCGATAAACCTGTGTGTGAATATATAAACTGAATATTATGCCAATAATTAGTTGTTTAGTTCAGTTGTCTACCTGTAAAATTTCAGCGTAGTACATATAGTAATTTACGAGATAATTAAATAAAAGTCATTAGAAGGTGCAAGACCGTGGTAACCCGACCATGTTTAGGTGGTTACAAAAAAGCGATCACCCAGTACATTGTGCTGGCTTTTAAAATATGTAGGATATTATTTGCAAGTTTACTACGGATATGTACATAAGTGTTACAAAAAACTACATGTTTTTTAAATATTTTTTATTTAGGATTGTTTATTGCATAATTAGTAATCAGCCTGGAGATTAGGTATTGTTTTGAATGCTTTTGTTTTCTCGTAATGTTTAGGTGAATTGTTTATAGTTGTTCATAGAATTGGTACCTGCGTAGTATTTGTTAGTTGAAGTTTAATTTTAGGGTAGGTATAGGTAATTTAAGAAATATGAAATGAAATGATAAGTTTTGAAGAGTGTAACGTATGCGTTGTAAATAGGTATTTTGTGAATAGATGGGGATTTTTTTAAGTGATGAATCGACTTAGGCTAGCATATCGCGAACAAACTCTGTATTGCATTATTTCTGTAATAATGTTGGAGAAAATAAAATATTTGATCACAAAATCGCGGTGAGTTAAATTATAATAAAATAAATTATTAATGTAAAATTAGTAATAAGTGATATACCTACCTAAAAGTTATGATCGTTTTTAATTTGTTCACCCTGAACGAAATTTCAATATTAGCATTAGTAATTAATATCCTAAGACAAGAATTGACATATACTTAAATTGAATCGAATTAGCATTAATGCCTATTATTAATAATTAGGTACACACACATTGAAGAACTCTCAAGAATACGATAAATATTTACAAAAATAGAAAGCAGAAGCGCACACGTACTTTACAACACGTATATTATCTGCCTAAGGGTCAAGTTTAGTGCCCTAGATGCAAATTGCAAACAACGAAGTATCCCTTCGCCCCTCCCCTCCCGCGTTCTAGCGAAGGATGTATTATCAGCGATTCTTGATTGACAAATATTATCTGACCAATAATTTTATCTATAAAAATGTATCACTTTCACTCGATAAATTGAATTACCGTTATTATATCAAAATATCATTCAACAACTGTTCGTTTTGACGTGACAACGTCTTATAAATTGGTTTGCCGGGTGACACTTCAAGAAACTGCGTTACGCTCCGCTCACGTTATGCGCTCACAATGAGAGCGAGTGAGAGGCACGCGTCCCTTCCAATCGGGCATGGTTAGCCCGCCTAAGAGCGAGAGAGACAGACATAGTCGTTGTCACGTAAAACTTTCGCCCGTATACCGACTTTACAGGCAACCAATTTTTAACAGAAATCAACAGTCACGGGCTCAACGCTTAACGGTAGGTACATAGGTATAGATAATTCTAGGTTCTAGGTATAGACCACAGAACAATATTACCTACTCTTACGAGGTATACGACTGTTGGGCGATGCAATGTTGATGCATTCTAATTTACAACTGTATTCTTCTACTATTCGGTCTATTTTAACTTATTGTAGATGACTTGTTGCTTTAAATATTTTGATGCATTCAAGTTTAAGCTCTATACACCCCAAAATAAAATACAATTACTTTAGTGTTATTGCTTTACAAAAAAAAATCAAAGAAATGAAACGATTTCTTATTGGTTTAAATTTTCGTTTTATTGCAGTCAGGTGAATCGTTCATACATGTATCTACATATTTATAATTTTAGCGGACCAGTGCAGATTTTCTGTTGATTGTAGCTCCGGTAGTAAAAAAGACTAAATAAATTTTAAGTAAAGAAACTAGTGCTTAAGATCAATTAGGGAAAAAAACAAAATAAATAATAGGTAATATCATCATCATCATCAACAGCCTTTAATAGTCCACTGCTGGACATAGGCCTCCCCTTAGAAAGGAGGTTTTGGCCTACTATACCACGCTGGTCAGACGGGTTGGTATAGGGTTTGTTTCAAGTTTTCCTTCTCTCTGCAGTGTTGTTGTCCTGCGTAGTTTCCTCCCTTAGTCGCCTCTTACGACACCCACGGGATGAATAGGGGTGGTGACACTCTGTATTCTTAATCCGTCACCACACGGTCACGTCACAATAGGTAAAAATAATGAATAAATATTGAATGTATTTAACACTGTACGCAACTGTACCGAAATCGTAAGGTGTATTACACTAAACATTTTAAAAGACAGCGCAATGTACTGGGTGATCGCTTTTTTTGTAACCACCTAAACATGGTCGGATTACCACGGACTTGCACCTTCTAATGACTTTTATTTAATTATCTCGTAAATTATTATATGTACGACGCTGAAATTCTACAGGTAGACAACTGAACTAAACAACTAATTATTGGTATAACATTCAGTTTATATATCCACACACAGGTTTATCGGTGGCCAAAAAAGGCCGCACACATTGTGATCGTGAACGTGGAGAGCTACATTTCATCATAACTTTTTAGTCACTTACAGTATTCTTACGAAAATTCGTATACATTTGAAGGTAGTTACAAGCAATAGAATAACGTTTCAAGTAAGTCTGTAGAGGTCTTATTTAAAGTGTTAGGACGTATTGAAGTGTTTTCATACTTACCTAAATAATTTTTAAACGGTCCATTATTTTTGTTATTTTATTGTCGAACAAATTAAAACTAATCCTTAAGAAGTTATGTACAAAAGATGGTTACAATCCGCTTACCCGTTTCAGAGATCCAGCAAACCTACAAACGTTACTCCAGCAGGATTTCGAATAACTTCGCAGCCGAAGAAAATACAAATACCAAATAAATTGTAACATTTACCTAACTCAAACTCAAACTCAAACTTTCTTTATTTCATAAAATTTTCAAAATTGTTTGAAATCGTCTTCCATGTAGACTCTAAAGTCATAGATCAACACACACAAAAGCAACAATCTCTGTTTTGTCAAATAGTAACCAAATAAATTTAACAAAATCAAACCCATACAAAATCTATGCCTGTGCCGATCTACAACCGCCCGTTTCCAAGGGGTTGAGCCTTATGAGAAGAAAGGGCAAACAAACTCATGGCCACTCTTTTGCAATTCACAAGTAGATACAATGGCACTATTAAATATATCACAACATTGTTTTGATGTGTGCTAGTATGTCCGTTATTAAGGACTTAAAGGTGAAAAAACAAGGAAGAGAAAACAAGATTAAGAAGAACAAACGAATACAAGAGAAAATAAAGTGAAACATAAAAAATAGAAAAAATAATAAAAAACATACTAGCCACACCACATTTTTACTTAAGAAAGAAATAGCCTGCTAATTAATCCCAAGCATTCTTGTCCTCCATGTAATCCACAATCGAGTAGTAGGCCCTCTGGCACAAGCCACGTTTTATTGCGGATTTAAATTTGTTAATACTCAACTCCTGAATATTATTTGGGATTTTATTATAAAATCGGACACATTGACCTCGAAAAGACTTGTTT